CCCAACCCTCTTTTTCTTATTTGGAGTCTCTAATTCGGCCACCCTGGGCTTGAGCTTGCAATCCTCCCGCCTCGGCATCTAGAGTGCAGGGTCTGAGGTGTACGCCTCCACCCACGGCCCGAGTCTCCCTCATCAGCTCCACAGCAGGCTGCGGATCTGCGCCCATCTTCTCCCTGTGCAAAGATGAGTGGGATCTAAGAGAGAAAGCGAGAGGCCCTCTCAGCGCTCACTTTCGAATGCTCAGCTCTTCAGACACAAGTTAATGAATTCAGTTTCACCCATGGTTTTGAAAAACAAAGGATTTATTTTCTAATTAGCAGCATCCAGAACCATTTTTGTGTTCAGCATGGAGGCCTCTTTTGGGGTCCACACCTGCACCTGTGGGATGCGCACCCTTCATGAACTACGCCCACAGAAGAGCTTCCTGTGCCGACTTCACCGAGATCCTGAAGGTCCACACGTGAAAGGAGTGAAGACCAGTGCTCAGCTGGAGTAAGGCAGTGTCCTGTGATGGCCGATGCCTCCATGTGACACAGTTTCAAAGCACGGAGTTTCAAGCCATGGAGCCCTGATCGCCCGGCAGGCTCCGCCCGGCCTGGACCAGGCGCGGGGCTGCGGTACACACTGGAGACGCTGGAGTCGCCAGTGCAACACACAGGCTGTGGCTCGAATCTGCTTCAAGCTCCAGGCTTTTCTTGGTGTCTCTGCCACCATGCTGTCCCTGGAGCCCACCCGGACCCTGGCCAGGACACAGAGACAGGAAGTGGCCGGGTGCTGTGGACGCTCAGGGTGTGCTTGGAGAGCGGCAGCTGCCCATGAGCCACGAAGTCTGATGGGCTCGTTTTAGGGACAGCTCCGCTCTGCACGTCTCAGTCTACAAATGTAGGAGAACTTGGAGAAGCTTTGGAGGAGCGCCCTTCATGCCTGCCGAGGTGTGCTGTCCCCCTGGGAAGGTCTAGAAGCCCTAGGGACTAGGTGACGGAGAGTACCCTGAATAACCTACTGTGTGGACCTGCGGGTGCAGGCCTGCCCTGGGCTCCCTCCCCGCCCGCGGCCTGGCCTCTCGCTGGCCCCGGCTGTGCCCCATGGTCAATCCCGCACTGGCAGGTGGTCTCCAGGCTTGAAGCCACGCAGGCACACGAGTGTGTGACACCCAGGCAGAGTAGTTGGGAGACAAAAGCCGGCCAGGAAGGACCTGAGCGGGGGACATGGGACCAGCAGCGGGGCAAACGCCTTCACCTGCCCTCCTCCCATCGGCCACTTCCCATATGCTCCTCAGTACCTTCTGTGGTAGGCAGGGCCTTCTCACTGTCTGTCAAACGCCACTCTCTCTTCTTCTCGGGTAGGAACACTCACCGGCCTCCCTTCACACAGGTACAGGGCTTGAGGAAGCTATCTGTGACAGAAAAGGAGTGTGTCATTCCTAGTGTGATGAAAGTGGATACAATGGCAAGAGCTCCAACAGTGCTGTTGGACCATGAAGAGAGAAGCCAGGAGAAAACAGGAGCTGGAAGGGTTGGGGCTGTTCTCTGACCACTTCATGAAGCCAGAGCAGCTCCACAGTGTCCTTTAGTTGATAAGCAGAGGGTGCTCCCTTGTCTGCTCAGGATGACCTTGTGCTTTCCTTTCTCTTCTACGCAACCAAGCAGCATCCCTGACACACGGGCTGGATAACAGTGCTTCTTACTTCACTGCGTGGAAGGGTCTTGTCATGGGCACCATCCCACCTAGTCTTCCTGGATTGACGCTGTGCCTCTCCCTGGGTTCAGAGCTCCTGAGAGGACAGTGCTGAGAGACTGAGTCCTTGTTCCTCAGGCCAGCGCATGGCGTTCAGTAAATGCTCCTGGCTGTGAGGACTATCCTTCAGAAAGAATGTGGAGACTTGAAACCTTTATTTAAAGCTCTCCACGAAGGAAAATGACCATGTAAAGGAAACCACATCCAACACGTCACGTCCTCGTGTGTGTGTGCGTGTGTGTGTGTGTGTGTGTGTGTGTGTGTGTGTGTGTAGTGTGTGTGTGTGTGTGCGGGTGTGTGTGTGTGTGTGTGTGACAAATCCTGCGGCAATGGGGAGGATCTGGGCTCCGCCCACAGGACTTGGTCAGGAGTCAGCATCTCTGCCTTCTGGGGAAGAGGAGTAGGTGGCACCAGGGCCAGCTTCTGTCTCCCCAAGGGCAGGGTGGCCACTGGAGTTCATCTGTGATGAAGTCTGACCCCTGAAACACCACCTCAGGACAGGCATGGTGGCCCTTGGCTGTATTCCCAGCACTCTGGAGGCTGAGGCAGGAGGATCAAGGTCAGCCAGGGCTACATAGTGAGTTCAAGGCCAGTCTGAGCTATAGAACAAGTCCCAGTCTCAAACTAAAACAAAGCGAGACACTTCTCAGGAATGTGGAAGTCCCTGGCATTGAATGGACGAAGGCCAAATTGTCTCACAGTTGCTTCCTGCCCTGGTCCTGTTTCAGGTGTGTGACCCTTACACACGTGGAACAGTTGTGTGGGCCTCCAGTCTCTACCAGCCCCTTGCTCTCCACACCTGGCTTCCCAGGGCCACGGGCACTCACCTGGCAGGGAGAGGCAAAAGGTGGCGAGAACGGTTACACCAGATGCAGAGAAATGAAAGAAAAGGAAGCAGGAAGCATTTACAGTATAAAAAGAAAACAAAAGTACTTTTAAATTTACTTTCTCTTTGCTGGTCCTGAAGCCAAGCACTTGCTCTCTCCCTATGAACAGGAGTCCTTTTGAGTAACTTTTTCCATGGTAAGCACTTTCTGAAAAATCATTTTCACACATTTCTCAGATACATCACCCCTTCTGGCATTCTTCTGTGCACACATTATGGGACCCCAGCTCTAAATAGAAAGGACTTTTATTACGTCCATTAACCATGGACATGTGTGCTCCAAAAGTTTCCTGACACACAGTCATTTGTGGTTTTTAATTATAAACAGAAAATATTCACTAGAAAAATAGAGAAGTAGGCCCATAAATACATCTTTATACATCGAGTTTCATTTGTGTGCGACAGAACAGTTGGATCAACGGCCTCCCCGTTGCCAGCTCCAGGATGCGTGAGCATGTGGTTACACACGCACACACAGGCACACACGCACTCCAACATCTGCAAGTGTGGGTGATATCGTGTTGCTTACAAAGGGAGGCCCGGATTCTGCTGAGCTGCTGTGGGTCTCCCCTTCCAGGAAGATCCAACAGGGAGAAGGCAACGCCCACGAACATACTTGACGAACAAAGTCAGATTTATTGAATGCGTTTTATTTTAACAACCAAAAAATTCTAACAGCCTAACAATGCACATAAGTTAAAAATTAATTATCACTTAGTGATAACAAAGATAGTTGATTTACATGGAAAAAAGAACATTTACAATATGTTAATCCTTATTCACATTGTTGATACTGCAATAAAACACAATTTGTTTTTTTCTTTTCATTTCACAAAAAAAGGCGGGAAATTGTGCTTTGTCAAGAGGCACTACAAGAGAAAGTTTCTTCTTCCAAATAGATATTATATGACAGATATTGAATAAATAGACATATATGCATTGTAATTCGCAAAGATCTGGCAAGACCACAGGCTAAAATGCCCACAGATTCACTTAGAACCACTGCAAACTTGGCAGTGAACTTAAAAAATAAAAGGCAAGACTTAGCATTGAAAAATACCTAATAAATTTTTGGTTGAAGTGTAAAAGATACCCAATGCGGATGTCATCAAGTGATGAGCCACCTGGTGCGAGCTTGGCAGACCGGTTCTCGGGTGTGCAGTGACCTTCAGCAACAGCGAGAGAAGACAGGGTGGACAGTAACTCGGAGCGCAGGACTCAGCAGCCACGGAAAGGACTTCCGAGTAGGCTGCGGCATCTGCAGACAGAGGCAGGCGGTGGCTTCCCTCTGCAGATGCGCACGCTCATGGCAAGGTAAGGTTTTAAACATCATTATTGGAAAAAGTACAGGAAAATGTCCCTTTAAAAACTCCAGAGGTTACTGAGCAGCTAGAGTTAGCTTGTATTGCAACGTGTCTTCTCCCTGTGTATTGTAAATTCTGAGTTAATATCTACACGTAGAGGTTTTTTTTAACTCCTACCTTTTATACCTTTCAAATATATAAATAGTATTAACAGTTATATTACAATGCTTGTGTGGTAAACAGAAAATAACTTTCAAAGTGATATTGCATGAGGTCTTTGACAAGGTTGCATGAGACACGACTCGAAAACAATCCACCCATGTGGGCTGTGAGCGGCAGGGAGGCGCGGGACCCAGGCTGTCTGAGGACGAGGCCTCCTCCTGCACCCGCGGAAGGACGAGGGACAGGGCACTGATGGCCTCAGGACACGGGGACCGGGACCAGCCTCCTTCTGTGCCCAGAGGTGACCCTGCTGAAGCCGCTGCACACATGCTACTGCTGGGAGCTGCACAAGGGATCGAACCAGATTCCGGCCAGGGCTGCGGGCCGGGGAGGGCCGGGCCGGGCCTGCGTGAGGAATGCCGCAAAGGAGTCCGGAGTGTTCCGAAGTGAGAAGCCCTGTGGCGGGTGCCGCTCGGGCTGGGTGGCGGCTTCTTCTCTAACTCAATGTAACATCCAACTATTTCCTATTTAAAAAAAAAACAAACGAAACAAAAACAGCGACAACGAACAACTTTTAAAAGAGCAGGCTTAATAGTTTAGGATCTGAAGCCACCGGAGGGAAGCGATTTTTCCACGAGCTGTGGCTCCCCCTGTGAGCTCCGGGGGCGCAGTGCCCTGCTGGGTGTCGCTGCTGAGGCTGCCCCCAGGCGGGTTCTGCGAGGGAGCTGGCTCTTCCTCACCTGGCAACCGTGGCACAGACCCATTCACTGGGGCAGGACCAACAGGGGACGGACGGACAGAAGGCCAGTCCGCTACAGAGTCACTCAGTGTGAACTGTGTCCTTACGAGTAATTTGACTTGTAGCATTTAATTTGCCCTGATTTGTTTCACTCACTTTCTTCTTTGCTCTATTTTTTTTTTTTTTGGCAGTGTAGATTTATTTTGTTAAATACATACCTCAAAAATTACCCATGAAGCTGCCAGATAGGAAGCCATAGAATTTAAAAAAAAATCAGGGACAAACACAGAAAAATAAATAGAAATTCAAAAAAATAGTACCCCCACTGCCCCGCCAAGAGCAGGCCACAGGTCACAGAAGGCCAAGCGACTCGTGGGAAGTGGTCTCAGCGTGGCCAAGCCCTCCGGAGAGCTCATTCACAGTCTGTGCTCGCGCCCGGTCTGTGCGTGCAAGGAGTGAGGTCTGTGGGTGCAGACACAGGTTTGTGTGCACACGCGTGTGCCGCTCTCCCACCCAGCCCCACGTGGACCCACAGGTCTCTGCCAAGGCGACATCTGAGCAGAAGCCGCAGCCCAGTCTCAGCCTGTCCTGTGCAACTGAGGAATGTCACGGCGGCAAGGAGCCAAACAGACACAGAAGGACAAACACAGAAAGCCGAGGACGTCTGTGAAGAGGGGAGCGGAGACCCTCGGAGGCCACGGAGGCCACATCATCTCTGGTCGCCCTCGGCGGGCGCGGCCTGAGGCCTGTCGCCGCTGTCCTCCCCGGCCTCCACCCGGTACGCCTCCTCGGGGCCGTCCTCACTGTCGTTCTCCTCCGACTCGGTGAGCAGCTCCTCGTCCCTGTACTCAGCCACGTCCACGGCGGAGCCTGGGTGCTCCTTGAGCTTGCCGTGGTGCTTGACGTGGTAGCGCTGGTTCTGGAAGAACTTGATGATGGTGTGCTTGGGCAGGTCCAGCTGCGCCGACAGCGTGTGGATGGCCTCCTGGTCAGGGTACAGCCCCACGTCATGGATGAAGCTCTGCAGGATGCCCAGCGCCTCCAGGGAGATCTTGGTGCGTGAGCGAGGCTTTTTGGCACAGCTGTCGTCGGCCGGAGGGGGTGCGGGGGGTGCTTCTTCCCGGGGCGGGGAGCTCTCCTTGGTGGGCTGGGACTGCTGTCGGTGGAGGACCTGGGGACAAGAGGGGACATGACTGACAGGTGACTCGGTTTACCCTTGTCTGCCATCAGCCCTCAAGTGACATCACGGCCGATCAGACAACCAGGCGCTGGACTCTTCGCTACAGAACCAGAGTCCCAGGCTTTCTGGCTGTGGACACACAGATTCCTGGGCACGAGGGAGGTGCCACTAGGTGCCCAAGTCCTCTGAACCACACCAAGCCCCGCCTCGACTCAGGGCACAGAAGAAAGGGTGGGCTCTTCCCTGACCTCCGCGCCAGCGTGCGGGGTTCCAGGGAGCACCACAGGAAGTGCAGGCCCAGGCCAGGGGCGCCAGCTTTGTCAGAACAGGGCCATGGCATCTAGTCCAGGTTCTGCAGGGCCCACTGCCCCATCAGCCCACCCACCCACTCAAGTCAACAGAGGGCCTGGCCGCCTGCCACCTCCAGCTCAGAGCCACACCCAGGATTCCAATCACACTGCCGGCGGTTCAGGTAGTATGGAGAAGGGGCTGCTGCGAAACAGAAAATTAATCCTTCGAAAATTAGGGCCATATTTGCTTTCTTTTAGTTCTGATTCTGATCTTTCAATGAAGCTTAAAAAATGTAAAAATCTTCGAAGTAATTAAAGGACGAAATTGTTTCTTAAATTATGAATTTTAAATAACTGTCATAGTCAGTGGACATTCTAAATATCACTATAAACTAATCCTCTATTTTGTGCACACCTCTTAATCTGCTTATTCACGTCAAGGTCTTCCAGTCATTGTAATTAACTCTTTTGGTTCTACTTCTCCCCTCTCATTAAAAAACAAAGCAAAACAAAACGAACACAAAAACAAACCCTAGTGAGACAAAGCCGACTGGATCATCACTGTCTCCACCACTGTCACTTGGCATGAAACAAGGTCCTTCCTGCTCTAGCAGCCTGGACAAAGAAAGAAAGTGATACCGGGAGCTGTGAAAAGAACCGGGCCTCCCCTGCAGGCCTGGGTGACCTGAGCGGAGTCCAGCCGGCCACTGTGTGGCCCTCACACCCACGGATCCCAGGCTTGCTGGGACCCAGGTCCTCTCCCTGGTGACCACCACAGACGCCATGGCCAGCCCCACCTGACTTCCTGCACCCTCCCAAGGCCTTCCAGAAGACTGAGTTCACTTTTTAAAATCACGCCTTCCTCTTTCTACCACCCTCTGCGTTATGCAATCTTTTTTCATGTTAGAGTCACAAATTAAACATTTTCCAGCACTCGGGAAGGATCACTCCACTCAGCGTGGAGAAAACATGTCTTGTTTCATTAAGGAACTGTTCATAGAGCTGGATGTCCACCACTCCAGCACCCCACTGCCAGGCCCATGGTCACCTGCTGCTTTCCAGCTAACACAGTGAGCAGTGAAGGAAAAAGAAGAAAGCCCTGCTACCCCTCCAGTCTCGAGGGCCCTCTGATGACAACATACCTGCCCTGCAGTGTGAAAATGCCAGCCTTTTACAGAGAACTTAATAATGGTCAGGGCAGACGAAATACGGAAACAGCAAACAGAAAAGGCTTAAATTTGTTCAAGTAATCAGCAAAAGCAAACAGAATATCTGTCACACATAACAAGCTGCTGGCTGGTGGCAGAAAGAAATCCAAAACAGGACTATCAAGCAGTGTCACTCAATCCAAATCACATCAACCAATTAAGATCAGCGTTCTTAGCAATTTGTTCCTCACTCCCGGCTAAGAGTAAACTCATGTGGTCTGCTGTGGTGAGCTAGCGTCAGCAGAAAAGTGAGAGCTGCTTCTTCCCACACCCTCATTACCCCGCCAGGGAAGTGGGGTGTGGGGGGCTCCCCTGCTCAGGCAGCCGGCATGGTGGGCAGGCGCCGTGAGCCCTTTGGTAACAAGCCTCTGGGTCAACAGGTGAGGAGCGGGGCTTCTGTGAGGGAGACAGACGTCAGGTGGAGAACACATGCTCTGACAGCGTGGACTAAGCACGAGCACTCCCCATTAGGGCAATTGTGTTAATTGGAAAACAAAAGAGAATTAAAATGCCCCATTTTCTAAATTACGCTTGCCTTCTGTAGTAAAAGTCAGCAGAATGGTTCCATTTAATTGAATAATTAGATTGGTTCTTTAGGGGTTTTCCATTGTGCATTGGTTAGACTTAAAGAGATTTTCCAAAACTGTACTTTGAAGTTTCTATAATCTTTCTGCATGATCACGTTTGTTCTCCTTGGGCCTGCCCAATTAGACTTCGCCTCCCTCATTTCTTAGAACTGAGCACAGTATTATAGATGCACACGAAGGGCCCAAGTGAAGTAGCAGCAGAACAATGAGAGCTGCACACACTGGATGGTTACTCAGCACCAGGCAGTTTAAAAAAACTTTACAAGGATTAAGGAAAATTTAATCCTGCTGAACCTCACAAAGGTGTATTTGGATCAAAAATGAACTAGAAGTCCATAGCACCTCAGGAGAGTCCTCTAAACCAAAGCCCACAAAACCTCAGGAGAATGGAAACCCACGGCTGCTCAGAGGAACCTTCTAGACTGCAAACCCACGGCTCCTCAGGGGAACCTTCTAGACTGGAAACCCACGGCTGCTCAGAGGAACCTTCTAGACTACAAACCCACGGCTTCAGAGGAACCTTCTAGACTGCAAACCCACGGCTCCTCAGGGGAACCTTCTAGACTGGAAACCCACGGCTGCTCAGAGGAACCTTCTAGACTACAAACCCACGGCTGCTCAGAGGAACCTTCTAGACTGGGGACCCACGGCTGCTCAGAGGAACCTTCTAGACTGCAAACCCACGGCTCCTCAGGGGAATCTTCCAGATGCTGAAAGCACGAGGAGCTAACTATGTGAGAAAGTGATTTTCAAGGGGAGAAGTCCAGTTTAGACTAGGAAGATGCTTCTCCAGACAAGTAACACCAAGAAAAAGCCTCTACAAAGTGAAAGACACACTTTGTGTTCAGAAGCCCTACATTACAGGTTGGGCTGCAGGACATTATCTGTATGAGGAATGTTGAGTGATGATTTTAGCATTGTTTAACAAAGAGCAATCTCTCCTACCACTTGGTGCTTCTCTAAATGTAGGACTGTGAGCAAAAGAGGACCTCACCCTGCAGTCTTCCCGAGAGAGGAACCGATCTGAATGCACTTCTAACCTGGCTCATCTGCTCTTTCCTCCGTATCAGCTCCACTGTGTCAGCTCTTCACCTCCTCCTCACTGACAGGTTCCTCAGTTCCCATTTAGCTGAACTTGGTTTTCGGTCTGACTTTCTCAGTGTGTTCTCCTTTCCCTCTTAGTTAACCCAAAGCAGCCGAGCGTCCCGAGGGCCACGGCTCAGACTCCTGTGGAAGGAAGGAGCAGCGAGACCCCAGACTCCTGTGACAACACAGGCACGTATTTCTGGCCGGTTAATTTTGAAGTTGCAGAATTCACATTTATCTCCACTGAGACAAAGAACGGCCTGTCCACCGAACAGAGATGTGTTCTTCCCTAACCAGCTCTTCCTGCAACCGGATAACATTTTCTGTGCTTCTTTAAGTTAAATCAAGTAGCTTCCCAACAATTTACATAAAGCTACTCGAGTCCACAGACTGCAGTTTCACCCTTTTCCCTTTGTCAAAGTGGGACCGGTGAGGGGTAAAAATGCCCCTCATCGAAAGCAGCACACACACTGTATAAATCCAGAAACAAGTGCTGTGTCCTCCAAAGGGCATCTCCATGGCAGTTTTAGTGCTGAAATCCCCAACTGGAAGCTCCATGAGGTTCTCCCCATCGTAGAACAGACAGACTGTGGCACTGAACTTACATAACAGGGCAGCAGGAAACATGAACGGCTGCTGAGTGCGCCAGCGTGGACACTGCTGCGTGCTTACTGCTGAGTGACAGAGGTCAAACGTGACATACAGAATATCACATGATGCCACTCACATCAAATCACAAGGAGGAAAAGCCGAGAAACACATAAAGACGGGAAAGAGAAGGAAACACGGACGGTGACAAATGTCATTCTCGGTCGTGCTGAGCAGAGTGGCAAGGGATGGGAAATTGCCCCCGAGACGGTGGGAAGGTCTATTTTTGTCACTTGGGGGTTGACTAAGACTGTAAGTATCGAAGAGATCAAGGTTCTGTGCACTTACTGTATGTGGTCGATCCTTGTTCCCGAGATATACCATCTCTCTTCCAGATTTTCCAAAATAACAAAAACCCATGATTTTTGCGAAGATAGCTATCTGTTCCTTTTTTCTCCTGCCCTTTGGGATCACTAAGACCCCTCTGTTCATGCCAGTTTGGGTTTGGATTTCTCTTCACTACAGCCCAACTAAAGTTAATCTACTCAACAAATTCATCTTTGATCATTTCCGTAAGGAGTCTCGAAGGTCGATTTGAAGCCCTCTTTCCCGCTGCTGGTGACTGTTCAGTATGTTAAGGGTTTGCAGCAGTAAAACACCGAAGTGACTCCAGTGACAGTGGCAACAGCATTAAGAGGTGCAGCACCGATGTGGGGCTTACTATGGTCAAACTCCGGCCTGCGGGCTTTTGATGTATGTTATGCTATGCTATTTCCCAGGAATCCCAAAGGCAGGTGTGTTCACCCTGCTTTATGAAGAGAAAACTGAACTTGCAGATTTGTTCAAGACTCATGGCTCTAAGTTTCTAAAGCCCAAGCTTTTACATTCTGTTCTCCTGCCTTCTAGAGAAAAATCACACAGAAAAACAAACAAAGTCTCTAGAGCAGAGGACACAGACCATAAACAAAATATCAGGTGGCAATAAATGCCCTGAGCAGCACCAGAGCCACATGGAGGAGGAGCGGTGTGGGGCAGGGGGAAGGACGGAGACGCGAGCCGTGTCCAGGCCAGGGCAAGGTGCTTCTGGGCATCTGAACACCGCGAGGGGCAGGCGAGCCGGAGCCTCACCGCTCACACGCTGGCCTCTGGCTCCACTTGGCTGCTGATAGCAACATTATGAACCCAAAAGAGAAAACCTCAGCTCCTCAGGCACCCAAGCCACAATCCAGGGG